AGGACAGAAATATGAGAGAAATACAGTGTGATATATAAGAGAAACCCGGATATAAGAGAGATTTTCTCTGGTCCCAAATTAGAGCCTGTGTTAATGTATATAAAATAGACCAAACCCGGATATAAGAGAAACCCGGATATAAGAGACTTCTTCTCCGGTCCCGACAACTCTCTTATATCCGGGTTACACTGTATAAAGAAAGAAAGAAAGAAAGAAAGAAAGAAAGAAAGAAAGAACGAAAATGTAATAAGAAATCAATAAAGAGACAAAAGGAAAGGTAAGAAAGAACAGAAATATATAGAAAGAAAGAAAGAAAGAAAGAAAGAAAGAGAGAGAGAGAAAGAAAGAAAGAAAGAAAGAAAGAAAGAAAGAAAGAAAGAAGGAAACATTAGATAACGATAAAAGAAGATAGAACAGAAATATAAGGGAAATATAAAAAAAAACAAAGAAAGAAAGAAAGAAAGAAAGAAAGAAAGAGAATGGATAACAGAAACAGCCGAGAAAGAGACACTCGTTGTGAGAGTTAGAGATAAACAAGAGTGTGACAGTGAGATGAAGAAAATGAAAAAGACAGTGAAAATAAGTGTGAGAAATTTAGAGTGAGTGAAACCTCGAGAAAGTGATAGAAAGAGAATGAAAGATAATCTGAAGTGAGAATGAGAGAGAGAGAGAGAGAGCCAGAGAGAATGACAGAGATGATGAAGAATGAAAATTAGAAAATTACACGACGTAAAAGAAAATTTGAAAAAGTGGCAAGGAATATCCAATTAAAAATTAATTATTTTGAAAACGCATCAGAAATACACTTTCGACACTAATTATCGCGAAAGAAAATAGTGTCCGAATATTTATTATACAGTTATATATATATATATATATATATATATATATATATATATATATATATATATGTGTATATGTGTGTATATGTGTGTGTGTGCATGTAGGTATACATGTATATAAGGAAAATAATATAAATATAATCATATAAATATTTATAAGTATAATTGAGATATGTATTTGTGTATAAAAGAGGCATATACATACAGTTTTATATATGTATCGATAATCATAGATATGAGTATATATATATATATATATATATATATATATATATATATATATATATACATATCTATGATTATATATTTGTATAATATATATATATATATATATGCTCATATCTATGATTATATATTTGTATAATATATATATTTGTGTGTGTGTGAGTATGTATATATATATGTGTGTGTATATATATATATATATGTGTGTGTGTGTTTGTATGCATATATATATATATAGGTGCGTGTATATATATCTATGTGTGTTTGTATATATATATATATATATATATATATATATATATATGGAGAGAGAGAGAGAGAGTGAGAGGGAGATAGAGTGACAGAGAGACAGAGAGGTATCCCTCGATTAGTGCGATTAATATGTACACCGGTAACTGTAAAAGAATCAATATTCAATAAATATGGTTAAAATGATGAATGTTTTAACGCACTAAGCGAGTATTATCTAGGCGCTAATTGAATTTTGGTTTATAAATATGTCAGCGTACCAATCGAAAACGCTTTAATCACTGGATATCTGCATATTTATATATATATATATATATATATATATATAATCTACCATCCATGCATTAGCTTCCGTAGAAGTGAAATGTTCCTTTAAGAGACATATACATGCACCCTGCAGTTGTCTCTGCAATTTCAAGTGATGCATTTATTCCGATAATAAGTCGCCATCACTTTCTCTTTTTCTTCCTCTACACACACACAAAAGCGCGCACGCACGCACGCACCCCTATCCACACACACGTGGGGTGTGGCTTTTTTTTCTTAATGGATTTTTCCGACATTATTTCTTATTTAATATATCATGATTTTGGTACAATTCAATTGCTATTATTGTGTTTTATATTCTTAAACCTTGAAATTATTAAAAACCATTCTAAATTGATAATATTATATAATACAAATATAAAGATTGGCGCTTAGTTGATGTTATTTTCACCATCTCGACTTTAGTGTTGCGTAGACGGACCATCTAGTAACTGATCCGTCCATTCGTCAGGAGATACCAACAACATATAACATCTTATTCGGACATATATTTAAATATGTAATGTGTACTGATCTATATATAATTAATCTTTTATTGACTTTTTCCAACAATCTAACAATTTTCTGTTTTTTGTGGGATTAAGGAATGTTGGAATTGCCCTTAGATATAATTTTTCAGAGCTTTTTGGGCTACTTCTCTAGCCATTATCAAGGATGTCTTTTTGGATGATGAAATTCTGTGTGTCTCTGCTACATAGTAGTTTTACAGTGTTCATTGCGGGCTCTTTGTGTACGCCATAGCTAACCGAGGCAAAGAGTCTATTTACAGAACACTTTCAACACGCCATCTACTAAACTAAATAGTGTAAAATTGATAGTGGGAGAATAAAATTTAATGAGCAGAGCCTTTTTAATGATGAGCTGTATACGACTAGGTGACTTGAAAAGTATCTTGGTATTATCAACTAGAATAATTTTATGCATATATATATATATATATATATATATTTACACGACAGAATTATATATATATTTATATATATAAATTATTGATATTTTTATTTTGTGTGTGTGTATGTGTGATTTTATAATATATACATATACATACACACACACACATACACACACATATATATATATATATATATATATATATATATATATATATATATGATCTAAATATATATCAAGCATTGAAATCTATCTTTTACATAATTTTCTTAAAACAAAATTACAGCCTCTTTCGATTCACTTCCCTCTGCCCCTCTCTCTTTGCCGTAACACTCATTTAGATATATCTGTATTACTGTCGTCTGTCTCCTCTCTCTTTTCCATTTTTCCTTTTCTTTTCTCCCCACTCCCCTCCCATTCCTATATATCATTTCCGTTAACTTAACCATCTAAATAGGTCAAGGTTCGGTCAAAATCCTACCCCAATATAAAGCATGCTTAAGAGAGATAGGAAATTAACCCCTCCCTATATTCTACCTTGTCTCTTTAACTACAACTATCACCCTCCCTGTTAAATTACAAAAATTACACTACCCATCAATTTCTAATCCCATTTTTCCTTTCATTTCGTTGTTGGAATTGTTACCTGATGATCCGGAGTCCCTTAAAAAGGATTTTGGTGAAATAAATTATTGTAATGGTACCTTAAAGTGGTCTGTTTTTCATTAAATCTATATATATATATATATATATATATATATATATATATATATATATATATATATATATATATATATTAATTTAACTGATTTAAAAAGTTGACATAGAAACTCTGTAAACTTACATTGAGCACTGTTTTGTAAAAATAAAAATATCAATAAGAACACCGGTTTATATGTCTTACTTTTCTTTCTTTTTATTATATATATATATATATATATATATATATATATATATATATATATATAAATAGATAGATAGATAGATAGATAGATAGATAGATAGATGCAAACAAACCTCTCATCAACCGACAAATAGGGTGAGGAATGGTCCGTTAAAATCGATTGCCCATAGATGGGAAGTGATTATTATTGAGTCATAAAACCGCGATGATAACGACCAGTAGTTATGGTCATAATTTAATTACTATAAATATGCATAAATAATTGTGTTTATTATTAATCAAAATATAAAAAAAATTAAAGATTTCTCACAACTTCTTTCTCACGCATGCTCTGATGTATCGTACTTTCCTTCTTTGTTTAGAATTGAAAGGCTCGGGGTCACTTTGAGAAGTACTATGACTGGTTCCTTTAAGACCGCAATTTATTTATTTATTTATTTTTTTCCTGCAGATTTGCATCCGAAGTCGTTGATGGGGCGGGGGTCTGTAAATGAAAGCTTATATATATATATATATATATATATATATATATATATATATATATATATATATATATATATATATATAGCCTGAGCGCGTACACCCGGGCTAGGAATAAAAATCCTCGAGCCCCCGCAACCGCTCTCTACTGCAATGAGAGGTCACGGCCTAGGGAAACTGTTTCCCAGGGCTGCCCCCCTCAGTATAATTGCCACTGTTAGAGATGATAAATAGGTGTTACATTTATTTTACAGTAATATACTCACAAGAGTCTCTAAATATATACTAGGAGAAACAGATCAGAAGACGCAGCTATATTCAAAGCAAGGACGTATGACCAGACCTATGAATATGTAAAACACACACACACACACACACACACACACACACACACACACACACACACACACACATATATATATATATATATATATATATATATAAAAAAAAAGACTTATTACAACAGAACATATATACTGACTTGAAAAGGCACGTAGACATTTTCATTATTTTTTCCTTTAGGAACTTTACAAGGAACACGTCTTCAGAAGGAAATCGTTGGTATAAATAATATTTTCCTGCTGCCATAAGATCAGATAATCTCATTCCAGGTAAACATAACTCAGCAATAGGCCAGCAACTGTAAGGATGAGCTGATAACTTTTGATGGTGATTTTTTCACTGTTCTACCAAAAGTCCAGTCCGCTCACCATTTAAAGAACTTGAGACTGTTTATATTAAAATTTTGCCGACTAGGTAGAGGTACGGTGGAGTAACGAATAGCGGCTCGGATTAAGGAATCAGAGAGCCGAGTTCGAAATCCAGTCGGATCTAATATTTTTCACTTACGTGCAAATACCCAATAATCAAATCAATCTCGAGGGAAAAACAGAAAGAGCTAGAAACATGAAAGCCTGTCGAAAAAAATCGCACAGATACAGGTTTAAAGCCCAAAGAAAAAACCCCGACACGAGTAAACAACTAACCGTAGAGCAGACCTTGATAAACCTAGTGAGCCAGACAAACCTACCCAGGTTTCACCTAAACGGATCGTCAGGGAAATCTGGCTCTCTCTGACGATA